TGTGTGACTCTCACCTTTTCTCTCTCTCTCTTCTCTCTCTCTTCTCTCTCTCTCTCTCTCTCTCTCTCTCCCATCTCTCTCTCCCCTCTCTCTCTCCCTCCCTCCCACCTCTCTCTCTTCCCTTCTCTCTCCCCTTCTCTCTCCCCTGGGCTCTTTTATGACCTAATAGTGATGCAAGTGCCGTAAATCTCTTACGAAAACTAAATCTTTCACCCCTCTCCCTCTTTCTATCCTCCTCTTCGTCCTCGTCCTCCACTTTTCTCTCTCTCTTCTGCCCCCCCCCCTTCTCTCTCTCCTGCGGACACATACATGCTGTTACAGTGCACACATACTCACAATATGCTAAAACGTCTTCGTGTTTTTCCTACGAGTTCACCTTTCTCTCTTCTTCCCATTCTCATCTCCTTTCTTCCACCGTTTCTATCTTCTTGTCATTTTGGCTGCCATGTTTCCCTTTAATTCTTTCTATTTTCTTCCTTCCATTCCTTCTTCCTTACTCTCATACATCAACTTTACCTCAATATTTCTTCATCACCTCACCTTTTCCAAATCCCGACTGACAAGTTTTGACTTCTATCCACAGGGTGTCGAGTACATACTGGTCATATTTGGCATGGTTCTGGGAATAGTGATTGCCACATTTCTTTGCATCCCTCTTTTTTACCCCCTCAAGATGACCAGTGTTTTCGAGGTAAGCTTAAAGCTCGAGGTGGGGTGTGACGTCATCAAGCGTAAGTAGTTTATCCATGGGTCAGTAGCTTATTGTAAAGAGAGGTGGGGTGTGAAGTCTTCAAAGTGTGCCAGTCTGTATCGGACACGTTTTTGATGAACGTAGAGTATAACTCTCTATTTCGAGCTGCTGAACCTAGTGTGCAACATCCGGGCTCTCCGTGGGGGCCACAGTAGGATTGTAGTTATGTCTTGCAGGATCATGTTTTAGTAAAACATTTCCTACGGCACTTGTAGCCCGATTAAGTCTTGTAAGTGCCGAAGATTAGAGGTGTTGCAAGAGAGTGACAAACCCAAAATGGGATAGATAAGGAAAATAAATGATTGATAGGAAAGAAGGAGCAAACCACACTATACCAAGTGCACCCGCCAACCACCCACTCACAGGAATAGGAAGCAGTAAGCTGGGTTTAAAAAAAATTAGTGTTTTTACCCCTCTATCGATACAATTTAGATACTTTAAGGAGGCAGGCTTTTACACTGCTTGCCAAAGCCAACCCAGGCTGGGAGGGATACAACCAGAGGCGAAGGCTGACTTGTTTGACAGGGTAATCAAAGTGAAAAAAAAGGGGCCAGATATGGCCTGTAGATATCACACAAGAACCTTACTCGAGGCGGCGACTCTGAGTTGTGAATGAAAACAAATCCGGAATTCATATTGTATGTTCAACCGCCAAAATAATCGGGAAAGTATCTTATTAAATGTCAATACCAACTAAAATTAAATTTAACTTTAGATGTGAATACACAAACACAAAGCAAAGAAGCAGAGATGTCAGTACTAGATCTAAATGTTATAGATCTACCAGTGAGTCTAACTTTTTGGTAGAACATGACAATTATCATTTTTTAAATTTCACTTTTGGCTGTTTTTGTCTAGCCTTTCGAGGCCAGGAGCTGGTGTCATAATCGAGGTCACGATCTGATTATAGGACGGTAAAAAGTCGAGGGAAAAAACAAGCACTTGCAGCAGTCAAGAGATTATTAGGAGTTAGTTCTCCTCACATTTTTAGAGGCAGTCTCGACCAGTGTTAGTTAGCTTACATAATCAGGGCTTGAGATTGCTTATAACTGTGGCCCCAAAGGGGTGAACAGGGTATATGTGGCAATGAAACAGTTTTGACTGCTATGCACATGTTCCCTTCAACTCTATTGGTAGACTCTTCCAGCCTCACTTTAAGCTTACTTAATCAAAGCTTGCGACTGCTTATGGAGTGGCCCGAGAGGGGTGAGCAGGCTATTTCTGTGGTCGTGAAACCGTTTTTAATGTTAGGCATACTGTTCATTGTTGATTATGAACGTCTTTGTACATTTAATTTATGAGGTTTACGTTTATGGGTGAATTTGACAGCGACAATGTTTCAAAATTAGGAAGGGAAGCAGTGATTATTTGATTATACAGACGCTTCGCCACTGGATACAACATCGCTGCAGAATGACCGAGATACACGGTAACAATTTCTACTCACACGGCAATCGAACTCAGGGTCTTCTGCGTGCAACACAGCGAAATGCTTCACCGCTACTAACAACACAGGCGCAGGTCAGCAAGCTGTGATTGTCGTGATGCGAAGACATGGGGAAAAGAGGTGGGGCTGGGTGAGGTTGGGGGGGGGGGGGGCGCTAACTTTACCGATGCCTCAGGAAGATCCGAAAAGCCAACCAAGTGTGTACTTCGATTTATGATCTTTTTTCCGTTCATCTTTAATTGGACACGCCGGCGTCCATGGTGTTGGTGTTAGGCGCTTCACCTTCGAACGCAGAAGACTTGAGTTCGATTCCCATGTGGGAAGAATTTATGTCTAGTATCTCAGCCTTTCTGTTAAACATGTTATGCCCCTTTCTGTCCAGATTGTGCCTGACAGGCAGAGTCGAAGCCCGCCTCCTAAATGATCTACATTGCGTCAATGGAGGTGTAATAGCTTCTACATTAAAATGATTGTATGGACAACCCAGTCTCATGTGAGAAGGCAGGTGTTCGCTACAAGTCATTCAGGCTCCCGTAGACTCATTGCAAAGGAATGGGCCAAAACTAATTTTCCTCCAATAGTGTGGTCAAAATTTCGTAGCACTACTTATTGTCAACAACGATCGAACATAAACCCTCCAGCTTTGGCACAATGACTTGTATTAAAATTTGTCTTAATCTATTAAAATTATATTTGGCAACTTGGAAACACACGTGTCACTTTCCCCTCCAAAAAACTACGACAGCTACAGAGTTGAACGTTGGCAAGTACCTGCATGCAAAAAAGATAGGTCACCGTGACGGAGCCCGATTAAAAACTTTTTTTTCTTCTGAATTTAGACAAATATTTTTGACAAAAAGTTCGCGTCCTTCTTTGGTCTTTGTGATTATTCCACCGAGAAACGAAAGAAATCTGCGTAACTTTACTTCACAGCGGAGGTGCCGGAAGTGATATTTCGCGAGGAGCATTTTTTTTAGAGTATACATCTAGAGTTTTAGACCTTCTAATTTTTTGCATCTCTCAAGATTTATTGCTCCATTCCAGTAGAGTATAAATTATATAGTAGGCCAATGACTTTCAGTTGATGTAAATGCACCGATCCTTCCTTTCATCGAAAGGGGGCCCAGCTAGTGTATCAATATTTTTGTAAACACCTGTTAGCTGTATTCTAGAAAATCCGTAATAAATGCTAATTTTAAAAAATCCTACAGGGTGGTTTCTACAGGTTTTATAAGGTTTACACCTGGGGCATTATCGCTTTCCAAAGCAAATCTGTCATCTTTTTTTTCTAACCGCGACATTATGCTTGTTGAACACATGTTTGAAGAACCTTTAGCAAAAAATTGTTTTCTATAAATTAATTTCTATTAACATGTTTTGCTACCAAAAATGTCAATGGTGAGCTATGACGTAGGCCATATGCGTACGCAAAATGTACGTGAGAAGTGGGAACTGCTGGGAACAATCCTATATTCCTTTGTGACGGAGATATTAAAATTTTATACAAATTTATGAAGAAAAGTGTTTATAATCTAGCCAAAACTGTCGAGGAAAAATATCATTAAGTTAAGACACATTGATACCAACTGCTGTGCAAAGTATGGGCGCATTGATTCACCCGTTAAAAAGATTATTAAGGATAGAAGGTTATGTATATTATGTGCTTCGTGCATTGGACAGGCTTGGAATATATGATTTGCTGTTTGGCTGCCAGTTCAGAATTCTGCATAGAAGCTGCTCTGGCAATTATGTTTTATCTTCTTTCAGTATTTGGAGAGGCGATATCATTCAAGATTTGCACGGCTCACGGGGACAGTGCTCATGATAGTCACGCAGGTAATAATTGTACACGAATGCGACTTAGCTTGTGTGGGTATTTAATGCTTGCTGCTTGTGTTTGGTGTATTATTTGGCTTTTGTGGACTGTATGTGTGTGTGTGCGTGTGTGTGTGTGTGTGTGTGTGTGTGTGTGTGTGTGTGTGTGTGTGTGTGTGTGTGTGTGTGTGTGTGTGCGTGTGTATGTCTGTCTATGTGGTATGCATTTGTGTGTATAAATGCACATGTATAATATCGTTATGTGTGTGTGCTAGCAAAGGTGTGTGTTATGTGTAAATGGACTTATTCACGAATGTGGAAGAAAATGTGCGCCTGCGTGTGTCTTGTGTGTGAACGTATGTGTGTCTGTAACCCTCATACATCGTAGTCTCTAGAACTCAGGATCATGCCACTACCTATTTGTCCACAGATCCTCTATGTAGGTATTGCTGCTTTCGCTCCCTCTACTGCTCTAGAGGCTGGTGAGTTTTTCATAGTTTGTCACCTCAAATCTACGAGTTTATGTCTCAATGTCACTCTGTTTCGCTCTTCTAACAGTCTACATGAGAGTTTTACGGCACTTTCAACACAATTAGGTCACACAAGTGCCGAAAGTTAGAGGGGTTACAAGCGAGTAATGTACACAAAAAAGGAGGAGAAATAAGGACGGTGCATGTTTGGTAGGAAAGAAGGAGCAAACCACACAAGCGCAGCCGCCAACCATCGGCACACTTACTCCTTTTCGAATGAGATGGTTGGGTTCAAAGATTTCCTACACTAGATCTCTTTAAAAAGAACACACAACATTAACATTGTTTAATTTTTAGAAGAAGAGAGGTGTATAGGAGATGAAACTTACAAGGGAAGCCCCAGACACTCGATCTACCAACATGAAAAATTCCAAGATAGAACATTATTTTGAGCTTGCCAATTTTCAAGCACCAGACGTTGTTTACTATGTTTATTGTGTTGAGTTAAGTACATCGACATCCTTTTGGTCACTCAATTCAGGGAAAAAGCGTGGCAGATAGACAGAATCAGCAAGGGAAAAAGAGGTAGAGACACTTTCCCTGGCACTCTCTTTTTCTCTTTTGCTTCCTCTCGATGAAGTCTGCTTTCGAGTACATCCCCCCCCCCCTCTCTCTCTCTCTCTCTCTCTCTTCCCCCCCCCCTCTCTCTCTCTCTCTCTCTCTCTCTCTCTCTCTCTCTCTGTGTCTGTCTCTCTCCGTCTCTGTCCCACTCTCTTTATCCCTCTCTCACCCCCCCCCAAAAAAAAAACAAAACCCAAAACAAAACAGCCCAACAAAAATCAAAACAAAAGCCGCTAAAAAAACACAACCACAACAACAACAAAAAATAAATAGTTGTGTTTCGAGAACATGTATTTCAACCGACCTAACCAATCTGTTGATACAGTAGCACGTTGTTCATTCATAACTAAGTTGACATAACCATGTACTGTTTATATAAGTTTCGCTGAGTTGTTTAGCTCAAACGTTATGGTACAATAGCATTGACACGGAGATATTTTGAACATTTTTTTACTCTCTTCTCTCCAGTGACTGGCTTCCCTGTCTGGGCGACTATTGTGACCATTGGTGTGGTGGGGACCTTCTATACAAGCATTGTAAGTCATATCTTGAGGAAGAGAAAGGTCGACTCTACTTTGCTTTTGGTTCTGCTTAAGGGACTCCTCACTCTGAAATGTCAGGGTTTCGGAAAAAAGGGAAAGTTGCAAATTTGCCTGTTTCCGATTCTGTATAAAAGAAAAAAGAGATTAAAAAAAAAGAAATTTTACTTGTGAATAGTGTACATATGTTTTTTTTCTGCGATTGGAGTGTTTTGATGTGTTCAAATTTCGTGAAATGTTCTTTTCTTTCTTTCTTTTTTTTGTAAGTGCTTGCAACTGCATAAGGTCACTTGAGCGCTCGGGGCACGACATTTTCAGTTGGAAGGAAATTCCGAATTTTGCTCACGTGGCGGCCGAAGCCTACATTTATCGATTTGGGATCACCAAGGGATTTTTAACGAGCGCAACTGACACACGGGGTCTCCGAGATGTTTCGCCCTTGTCCCAGAAGGCTAGGTGTAGATCTTTCCTACCATGAGATCAGGGTGTGGCTGAAAGACAGCAGTAAGAAAGAGCCAAGGAGTAGCAGTAGAAAGGCTTCAGAAAGAGTCAGGAGCCCAAAGTAGGGGTAAAGGAGGCGAGAGCGTGGGACCAAAAAGTGGAGAAGAAAGCAGACTACAGAACAGTGTTTTAGAGAAGAAAAAATTCCGTCGCTATCCGGATTCGAACCCGCGATCTATTGAGTGAGAGACGAACACCGTAACTTCAAGACCACGAGAGCCCGTAAGTTCCTTTCTGACAGATATAAATAATTTAAATTCTTTACAACATATACCCATATCTTCAGGCTTTGTGTATTTGACCGTGCACATAGGCCTATGTATTTAATAATTATATACAATATAAATATATATATATATATATATTTTAAATATATATATATATATATATATTTATATATATATAAAAAAAATATATAATATGTATATAGTATGGCTCTTTTCGTCTATGCAGACGGTCAATTTAGCTTAAGATGGTCTCAAGGTTGTCTTCATGCAGCTTCTTTCATAGCTAATTCTTCCTATGTTTGAAGCGCAGATCCTGTCGCAGTGCTTGCATGTCAGTGTCGTAGATCGAAGCTCTGTATTTCCACTGTTTTCCTTTCGTCGCTGGCGCTTCTCAGCCTGGTTGTTTCTAAGGCTGTTCTCTAGCATTTTAGTTCTTTCCTTTATAATTTTCCTCCATGTTTTCCGGTCCTCAGCTATTTCTTCCCAGATGTTAACATCTACTCTAAGCTTAGATAAGCTGTTTTTGCAAGTGTCTTTGTACCTCAGTTTTGGTCTTCCTCTTTGTCTCTTTCCCTGGGCAAGTTCTCCATAGAGAAGTTGCTTCAGAATCCGGTTGTCATCCATTCTCTTGACATGGCCAAGCCATCTCAATCTTTTTAAACACAGGATAGTTGTCATGCTCTGGAGGTTTGCCTGTGCCAACACGCCACGAAATGCCTAAGATCTTGCGGCAGCATCTGAGATGGAAAATGTCGAGGCGCTTTTCTTGTCTGCTTTACAAGGTCCATGTTTCAGATCCATAAAGGAATGTGCTGAGGACACATGCTTCGTAAATCTTGATCTTTGTTTATATGGTTAATCTTTTGTTTTCCCATGCTTGTTTTGTCAGCCTTCCAAAAGTTGTTGCTGCTTTCCCTATCCTGATGTTGATCTCATAATCAAGGGATGTTGTAGAGTTGATGGTAGACCCCAGGTAACAGAACTTGTCCACTGTCTTAAGTTCTTTTGGCTCGGCTCTGCACCTTCTTGGGTAAGGATGACTGTTTTCTTAACACTGATGACCAAGCTAAAGACCTTGCATGCTGTTGATAGGTGGTCCATCATTGTTTGTAGGGTTGATTCTCTGTGAGCAACAAGAGAAGCATCATCGGCGAAGAAAAGGTCTCGTACTGTTGTTTTGTTGATCTTGGTCTTGGCCTTGAGTCGAGCAAGATTGAAGAGCGACCCATCAGTTCTCCAGTGGAGGAAGACATCCCCTGGTGACTCTTTGAATGCGTGTTGCAGTAAGACAGCAAAATAAGTGCTAAAAAGGGTTGGTGCTAAGACACAACCTTGCTTTACTCGCTATTGATGTTGAAACTGTTTGATGTTGAACCGTCAAACTGAATGGTGGCTTTCATATCTTCGTGGAATGAGATGATGAGCTGTTGCAGTATTGGGGGACTGCCAATTTTTCCATGCACCATGTGCAGTCCTGATCTACTGACTGTATCAAAAGCCTTTGTCAGATCGACGAACGCAGTATGTAATGGCAGTCGTTGCTCCCTGCATTTTTCTCGTAGCTGACGAATAGAAAAGATCATGTCCATTGTTGAGCGGTTTGATCTGAAACCGCATTGGCTCTCTGGTAGGACTCTTTCTACTAGTTTCTGAAGTCGCTTCAGGATGGTCCTAGCGAAAGCTTTTCCAGTGATGCTTAGCAGTGAGATACCTCTGTAGTTGTTGCAATCTCCTTTGTCCCCTTTGTTTTTGTAGAGTGTGGTGATTTTGGCATCTATCATGTCATGTGGAATGTCTGCTTTCAGCCAACAAGTCGTTAGTAGCTTGTAGAGATATGGGAGGAGAGTCTCTTTGTTCTCTTTCAGCACTTCAGCAGGTATGTTGTCATTTCCTGCTGCTTTTCTGCAAGCGAATTCATCGATTGCAGAGGAGAGTTCTTCTTCTGTTGGTGTTGTATCAAGTTTTGACATTTCGGAGAGCTGAGGAATGGCCCCATGTAGCTGTCTATCAACATGTCGCTCCTCTGAGTATGAGTCTGAATAATGTTCCACCCATCTTTCCATTTGTTTCTTCTTGTCTGTCAGCTGTTCACCTGTCGTAGACTTTAGAGGTGCCACTTTGTTTGCTGTTGGTCCAATAGCAACTCTGATGTTTTCATACATTTTCCTGATATTACCTGTATCGCTGGCCTGTTGAATTTCTGAGCATAACTTGTCCCAGTACTGATTGGCACACTTTCTAGTTTCTCTTTGAAGGTTGGATTTAGCAGCACGTAGTTGTTGCCTTGTACTCTCTGTTGGTTTTGTGTTGTGTTCTATCAGAATCTTACGCTTTTTCTCGAGTAGAGGTGCGAGTGTTGATGCACTGGCCTCAACCCAGTCCTCCTTGTAAGGTCTTTCTATTCCAAAAGTAATCGACGCAGAATTATAAATTGTTGATCTTATGCTATTCCACATCTTGTCTGGGGATGAGCTATCTAGATGTTGGAGCTCTTCTTTAACATGTTCTTGGAATTCTGCCTTTAACGCTGGGTCTTTGGTATTTCTTATGTTGATCTTACGTTTCTTTTGTTTTTCAGCTCTTGGGGTTTTCCTTGTGACTATCTTTGCCTTAGCTATAACAAAAAGGTGGTCTGTGTTGCAGTCTGCACTGTAGAAGGATCTTGTTTGCTTTACCATGTTGGCATCTTTCTTTCTGACGATGATGAAGTCAATTTGGTGCCAATGGCCTGATCTTGGATGGCACCAAGAAACCTTGTGTCTGTCCTTGCCACCAGTAGAAGGTGTTAGTGATGCAAAGGTTGTTATTTGTGCAGAATTCAAAGAGTCTCTGACCAGTCTCGTTGATTTTTCCCAACCCAAAAGGTCCAAGGCAGGTGTTTTCAGTACCTACTCTTGCATTAAAGTCGCCCATGAGAAACAGTTGGTCTGCTTTTGGGACGTTGTTGATTGCATCCTGAAGTTCCTCGTAAAACTGGTCTTTTTTCTCATTTTCTGTTGTTAGGGTTGGGGCGTAGGCGCTGATGAAGTGAGCCTTTCCAGTTTTGGTTTCATTTCCATGACAGTGATACGTTCGGATATACCTTGGGGGGTGCTGATCCTGTTCAGCAATCTGTTGTGTACGGCAAGGCCCACACCCTGGATTCTCCTCTCATCTTCCCCAAGACCCTTCCAGAAGAATGTGCAGTTTCTTTCCCTGATGGTACCAGAGTTAGCAAGTCTTGTCTCTTGCAGGGCAGTGATGTCTACATTCAGTCGTGTGAGCTCCCTGTCTATGATTGCTGTCTTTCTGATGTCCTCTGTTTTCTCCAGGTTTGTAGTGTCCATTCCGGTTGTCATTGTTCTAACATTCCAGGTCCCCAGTTTCTATGGGGTTAGTTTTACTCTTTTTTTGCCTGGTGCTGGATTTAACGTCTGCTTTTCGGTTTTTGTCCTAGCTCCATACACCCATAGAAACAAACAGACGTGGCGGATCAGCACCTTACTGACTGGGGGCTGCCCAGTTTGAGACGGGCGGTAGCTGATCAGTGTGACTGAATAGTCACTCCCATTGTGACCCGTGGCGACATCCTGTCTCGCCAAATAAGGATGTCTTATAACCCGTAAACTGCCACCTCCCGTGTTTTTTCCCTTGCTTGTCACAACAAGGATGAAGTGTCCTCTCCATAATCATATAAATGCTGTTGTAGCTGTGGTTGAGCTGAGGGTCCGATCCGCTGTATTTGCTCTTTTGCAGTGTCCTCCCAGAAATATTGAAATCTTGACTAAGTTAAATGCCTGGGCCTGACTATATGGAGAACGTGCCTTGCCCAATTTGCACGAACCCCCTCTCGACTTAGCTGATTTAGTCCAAAGGAGAGACGAGGTCAATACATATAGATCGGATCATTCCTCCCTGTCGACTGCCTTAGGGGCCGATCATTCCTCCCTGTCGACTGCCTTAGGGGCCCTCCCTCCGGATTTGTGTAGGGTTTACTCCCTTAGTCTTTCACAGGTAGTACCATCTACTGTCATTATGGTAGCAGCACTAAGGCTGACCTGACAATCAATATGTATATATATAATATACCTGACAATCAATATGTATATATATAATATACAAATATATATAAAGATATAAAGTAATACATATAGTATATACATATATATATATATATATATATATATATATATATATATATATATATATATATATACAATAATTTAGTATAACACGGATAGCTCGAAGTCGCCGGTACCGGCCTCGACAGTTCGACGGATCCGCAGTTCGAAGGATACGTGAACAGTGTTATGGCATCGGGAAGCAAGAAAGATTGGGTCGGAACAGAGCTTTTTCTTTTTTCGGCCTTTGGTCTAGATCAGATAGGTTAGATCTATGCCAACTGACTTGAATTTGAAATTTGAGAATTTGAAATTGACAGACTGAGAATGAGAAACACGATGAGCGACGCTTTTGAGTTTGAACTCGATAGGTAATGAAAAGACCGCAGTCATTTGCAAAGAGGGGTGGGATGGCCCCTCGTGTGATTCACAACCCTCCCTCTCGCCTGCTCCACACAAGCCTAGTTGCTAGGCCTAGGACCTGGGCACGTGCAGAGGACATGCATGTCGATAAGCGCTAAAAAAAGGACAGCTAGGTGTTTCTGTGGAGGAGTGGTGGTGATATTTTATTGATCTTATCTTTTTCCGGGTTTAAAAAATTATTAGGCCTATTATTATTTTGTCTCAAGTACACCTGAAAAGACACTGACTTTAGATCTCTACAGCGGCGTAGTTAGTTCGACTATTCCATGTTTGTGTTCGAGATTCGCGTAATTTTCTTACTAAGATAAAGAAGGAGAAAAAAATGGGACTGCGGAGGCTCAGTTCGACGGCAGCATGATTTTTAGCAATTTGTGGCAGCATGATTTTTCAGCTATATATATATATATATATATATATATATATATATATAATATGTAGACTGACAAACAGAGAGAGACACTGAAATGCAGTCATATCATCTTCTTCCATTGCAACCATCTGTCTCTCCAGGGAGGAATGCGAGCTGTTGTGTGGACTGACGTCTTTCAGTCCGTGGTGATGTTGGCAGGACTGTTGGCCATTGTTATAGAGGTTAGCCTTTGCCTTTTCCATTCCTGCGGGTTGTTCTTTTAAATAACTATTCATGCTGTAGTATTTTTTAAAAATCATTGTTTTTGTCGTTATTGTTGTTGGTGCAGTTGCTGCTGCTGTTGCTACTGTTGGTAGTGGTGGTGGTGATGCTGCTGTTGTTGTTGTTGTTGCTTTTGCTTATGTAGTTGTTTCGTTGTTGCTGTTGTTTATTGCCGTTGCTGTTCTTCCTTTTGTCTGTCGGAATCTTGCACCTTTTTCAACTTGGAAGTTTCCCTTAAGCTATGGTACTTACTTCGTATTGGTTTCAAGGATTTTTTGGTAACATTGCTGTTTTGGTATTATGCATTTAGTTACTAATATAGATTGTATTCCCCCCCCCCCCCTTTTAAAACACACTTTCGGCCTTTAGACTTCGGTTCTAATGCTATCTATAGTTGAATTTTGTGTCATCTTCAAACACTAAAGTGCTCTAGAAATTGTTAATTTTGTTACACAATGTTTTTTGCTACTTTCATCGCGGTGCACCTATTTTGTTATTATCGTTATTGTTGTTGTTACTGCTTTTGTTTTTTATGTTGGTTTTAATATCATGCTCTTTTGAGCAGTCAACTGTGGTTATCTTTAAAAGTTTTTATCAGACGTTCTGGACAACAAGACAGCTGTTGATTATCTTTGGCAAAGAGGAAGACCAGATATTTAATAATATTAATCCTGATTATAATATTAAAAATATAAACAATAACAGAAGAATCTAGGAAAAAATGATAATAATAGTAGAATTATTGATTTATAATATGACAATAATGATAATAATTAGATTAATAATAGCAACACCAACACTAATAATATAACAATAATAATGATAATAGCAATAATAATAAGAATAACAACAACAACAACAATAATAATAATAATAACAATAATAATAATAATGATAATAATAATAATAATAATAATAATAATGATACTAATAATAATTATAATGATGATAAGAATATAATAATAATACATGTAATAATAATAATAATGTATTAAATAACACATATCCACGCAATGCAGCATGCTTTGTGCTCTTCACAACGTAAGCACTTCCTAAGACACGACTCAGGACCATTCTTCTCAGAACGGGAAGCATGCAGTGCAAGCTGTGGATCACAGGCGCGAAAAACACTAATAAACGGACAGTATTTTGCTGTCCATAGCCGGGTACGCATTCCCACCTGAGTAAAGTGAGGAAAATTCGCGTAAAGCGCTTTTCTCTAGGTTACAACGTCGGGCCCTGACGGGATTCGAATGACTTTACGGTTGAGAGCCCGAGAGCCTAACTACTGGACCACCGACGCTGCGAAAAGATGTAGGTCGTTTTGAAGACTAGGCATCTTAAACTTGCGTCAGTCTCTGATAGGACTGGGCAGAGAGCCTTGAAATGCTTCAAACAAGGAACGAAATGGTCCTTCTAAAAGGAAGGCATAATATTATTCACGAAAGAAAGGAATACTATTCATTAATTTAAAAAAATAAAGTCATAAAAATGAAACGTAATTATTCTCCAAAACAATACATAAATTCATTTAAATAGATGCTAATTGTTCGTCACAGTTTACTATTACCGAATGTTTTTTTCAGGGTACGAATCAGGCCGGAGGTTTGGAAAGAGTGTGGACAGTCGCTGACAAATGGAAGAGACTCGAGTTTTTCAAGTAAGTATTCCAGAACTTTTGGCCACCAAATCGGTTTATCTTATTTATCTTACGAAACACACACATTAGGACTGTAACTTCCGTTTTACTCTTCAGATATAATAATTCGTCAGAATAGCCTTTTTTGTAGTGTAATGTAACTGTTAATTTAAATGTTTTATGCCTCAAACGACACAAATAATAATATATTATCAGCTAATGGTGTCGAATACATAATAACCCCCCCCCCCCCCCCCCCCCGGGGAAAAATGAAATATTAATCCTTTTGAATGTAAGGCAACTCCTGATCGTACAAGTTTTATAGTCCAGCTGGCACCACTTTGATCAGCTACGGGTACCACCACTTGGCTTTTTCATTGTAAATACGAGTCGACTGACAGTGCAAATTTTACCGTTTAAACAACGCTGATAAAAATAAATACGATGATACACACTGAGGTAAAAAATAGAGAAGAAAGTTGGAACCTATTGCGATAAAATGAAATGAGCTGTTTGTGACCAGTGGGGCCTTTGGGTAGAACCATATTAACTCCCGACACCGACAGTGAGACCAGACCCGCCGTTTTCCGTCGGGTGCGGCCGACCATAATAACACAGGAGATTAGCGGTCAGACACCGCCGTCTTGCAAGTATGGCGACTGGTAGAACAAAGAAATTGTTGTTGTTGCTTTTGAGACGCAGACAAAAAAGGCAAATCAAGACAAGAAGATTTTCAGTGCATCCCATCCAAAGAAAGCGTGATACACTAGGTGAATTTCATTATTTGTTTTCGCAGTTGTTGGAAGATTGTGAAAAATTTCAACAATACTACCGCATGAAACAGCAGTTTCAATGAACTGCAAGAGATAGGCCCCTATGCAGAGGAGCTGACCAAGAACAGCTAGAATTTTGCGAAGTGTCATTGAGGCGGGGAAGGGGACACACCTATGACGAGATAACATAATTAAAATTGCCCCCCATCTCGCCCGACGGACCGTCTTCGATAGACCATGTTTTATCGGTGACGGTCTGACCGGGGACGACACAGGACGTCGGGCGTCGGTATGGTAGCCGAAACCGTTTTTTGGTACCGTCTATTACTAAAGAGCCCGTGCGCATTCTTTTGAGCCCGAAGACGGTCTGGTCTGACCGTCTGTGTCGGGCGTTAATATGGTTACGGCCTTAAACTACCCGATACAGAGAAAAAGACCCAAAACAACCTATTTGGGTCTGCAACCCTCGCGTCCGTGGTATGTAATGTTTGTCTGTCTGTTTGATATAGTAACCACATTAGGAGAGAGAGAGAGAGAGAGAGAGAGAGAGAGAGAGAGAGAGAGAGAGAGAGAGAGAGAGAGAGAGAGAGAGAGAGAGTACATGTCGTAATATGAATCTGGTTCTGTGCTGTTGAACACAAAAGACGTGTTCTATTCCCGAGAGGGGATGTTTGTTTTCATGACGGAGTATTTCTATCTGTTTGATGGGATGATGCACCCAACTCAGTCCAGGTTGGCACTGCAGGCAGTGTCGAAACAGTCCGCCTCTCTATTGATCTAAATTGTGTCGATAGCGACATAAAATATGTTAATTACACCAAAAAGAAATTAACTGAGTAGCTGGGGTACTTTCGCAAAACTAACTCGCCCCCCCCCTCTA